GCTGGCCCCCACCCTTTGGCCAAGCGCAAACCTTACCTTGAGTAGAACCACGCGAGTTAGGACTGGAAGGTGAGACCAATGGCGGGGGAGGGAAATCCGCCACCCCGAGGTGACGTCGGTGGGGAAAGTCGGTCCCCTATTCCAGAGCAGCAGCGGTCACAGGACTGGCCCTTTGGTCATCCCAGAGCAGCTCCTCCAGTCCATGGCAGGCCGGTGCACCCGAGTGGAGGAGCAGCTGCTCCAGGATGACCAAATAGCCAGTCCTGTGACCGCTGCAGCTCTGGAATAGGGGACCGACTTTCCCACCGACGTCAGCAAGCCACCGTCAGTCAAAATTCATACTAGTGGTCCAAGCGGGATTTAAAATGATGAGTTTGGTGGTCCCTGGGGTCCAAAAGGTTGGCAACCCCTGCTCTGAAGCACCCCCATTAGGGGACTGAAGGCTAAAACATACCAAGAACAGTTGCTGGAATTGGGTCTGTCTAATGAAAAGGACTAGGGGTGATACGATAGCAGTCTTCCAATATCTCAGGGGCTGTCCCAAAGAAGAGGGAGTCAAGCTATTCTCCAAAGCACCAAAAGGCAGGAGAAGAAGCAACGGGTGGAAGCTAATCAAGGAGAGAAGCAACCTGGAATTAAGGAGAAATTACAACAGTTAATCAGTGGAACAACTTGCCTCCGGAAGTTGTGAATGCTCCATCACTGGACGCCTTGAAAGAAGATGTTGGACAGCCATTTGTCTGAAATGGTCTAGGGCAGGGGTGTCCAACCTTGGTAACGTTAAGCCTAGCTGGCTGGGGAATTCTGGGAGTTGAAGTCCTCCAGGCTTAACGTTACCAAGGTTGGACACCCCTGGTCTAGGGTCTCCTGCTTGAGCAGAGGGTTGGACTAGAAGACCTTCAAAGTCCCTTCCAGCTCTGTTACCCTGTATTCTGTGCACGCTCTGCCCTCCTGGTGTCCTCTCACCATTTCGATCCTGTACTCTCTGCCTTCCACTTTTCCACTTTCTTGGAGAGGCCCGGCTTGGCTCCGTCACCGTTTCCTTGTTGGCTCTTGAGACATTCCCTGGTTTAATATGGGAATGATCTTTCTTTTTTTTTTTTAAAGTCCTTGTTCTCCTCCTCCCTCCGAACATCCATACATCGTGAAAGCATTTTGAGCTTATTGGGAACAGCTGTGCCCACACATAGAGGAAGAAGGGGGGAGGGAGGGAAAAAGATCTATATATATATGTCTGTGTATCGGATTACAGATGGAGGAACCAGTTCCAATGGACCCCTTTTAAATAAACCCCTCCACCCTGAAATAATTAAGCCAGTTATTCTGGCTGGATACAAAGGCTGTAAACGTATCTTGCAAAAGAATTTTCGTTTAGTTGAGTTGGAAAGGAATATGTCTGTTGGGGAAGCTTTGGCAATGCAGTTTGACTGGGGCCTTTGCTTTGTAACTCTTCTTTTTGCAGTTTTTTTTCTTCCCCCTTTAGTTTTTTTGCACCTGGTTGGTCAGGTGACTTACACTTCTGAGCACAGGTCAGCAAACCTGAAGCCACTGGGGGTGATGAGCAGCCCCTTAGATTCTTCTGGAACTTCTCTCGTGTGCCTTTTTTTTTTTTTAAAAAACAAATCGCCAGCACTGAAAGATCCCAAAAATAGAGAGTGCCGTTTATTTTTTTTAATCTTATCTATCCGTTCAAAAAAGCAACCCAGAAGTGTTGCAACAAAATAAAATAAAATGAAAATGGTGTTACAAAATGAGGAAAATTGTTCAATAAAAGTATTATTTTTTTAAAAAAAAAAAGCAACTCAGAACACAGCAAAAACAAAACATTTTTACTTTGAATGTATGTTTTTTTTTACTATACTTAACATCTTTCAGTAAAAATTTATTTAAGGAAAAAAAAATAGCGTAGCCTGCTAACCAGACACGTCCATAATTTTCAGAGCAATTCTTCCCGGGTTTAAGGGCAATTTCCGCTATGGATCACCTCTGTGCCGTGTTCTGCTTTTTATTTCCCAGTTTTCCCAGACAGCAATGCGAACACAACGTTTCAGTGCTCTGCACAACTCCACACACACATACACACACACACACACACACACACGCACACTGGTGACTGATAGTGCCATAAAAAAATTATGCAAAATCTTTCAAACAGTTGCACTATGTTATTCCGGAGGAGGAACACGCTGTAAAGTTGTTTTATTTGCATATCTGATTTCTTCTTCTGCGGGATGTCCTTGACACGGCGACAGTTCATTTAGTTCGAAGTTACAATGGCACCGAAGAAAGTGACTTATGACCCGCTTTTCACGCTTAACGACCGTTGCAACAGGGTCGCACGATCCGAATTCGGGCGCTTGGCAACTGACTCCTATATATGACGGTTGCAGTGTCCCAGGGTCACGTAATCCCCTTTGGCGACCAAAGTCCATGGGGAAGCTAGATTCACTTAACAACCATGTTTGCCAATTTAATAACTGCAGTGATTCACTTAACAACGGTGGCAAGGAAGGTGGTAGAATGGAGCAAAGCTCCCTGTTTCACTTAGCTGCAGAAAGTTTGGGCTCGGATGTGGCTGCATTTACTACGTCCAGAGTTTTTGTGATTATCATCATTGTAACGAGTTCCCTAAGATTGCCTGTTCAGAGTGTGTGTGTGTGTGAGAGAGAGAGAGAGAGAGAGGAGGAGGAGGAGGAGGAAGAGGAAGAAGAAGGAGAGAGGAAGAAGAAGGAGGAGGAGGAGGAGAGAGGAAGGGAGAGCGAGAGAGAAAGTGAGCAAGAGAAGGGGAGAGGGAGAGAGAGAGAGAGAGAGAAAGGAAGGGAGAGTGAGGAGAAGAAGAGAGAGAGACTTTTTATCTCAGCCACCCGTTCTGGAGAGAGGAATTTTGGAAGGGATTCCTGCGGCATTGCTATATAGCTGATAGCTACAAATCTTCCTTTTTAACATCGTCCCGTATAAAACGCCAGCCCATCGTTCAGCCACATACGGTATGTGCACATGTGCTTCGCATTCTCCTCTCCTCAGACATCCCAGAAGCATTTCAAAGCGCAACCTTGAAAGAATTCACATAGTCGCTGTTGCATGCCAAGAAAGTAGCTCACCAGCCACGGCTCGGTTTTGGTCGTAAGTGGAGGATTACCTGTATTAGGACCAAATTCAGACAGGCATCAATATTAGCCTGTCTCGATGAATAGAGGAAGGTAGCAACGCCACCTTGATATACACAGACAGGTAGTCCTTGCCTTAAGGGCCACAATTTTGAGCCCAAAATTTCTGTTGCTAAGTGAGACGGGCTATGAAGTGAGTTTTGCCCCGTTTTATGACCTTTCTTGCCACGGGCGCTGAATGAATCACTGCAGATATTAAGTAGGCAACATGGTTGTGAACTGAATCTGGCTTCCCTTGACAAAAAGTTGCAAAAGGAGACTATGTATCCCTAGGACACTGCAACCGTCATAAGTACAAGTCAGTTTCCAGGCATCTGAATTTTGATCACGTGACCCTGGGGGTACTGCAGCGGTCATAAGTGTGAAAAACGGTCTGTCAGAATTCCGGCAGTGAGCCCCATTTAAATCATGAGTCTCGAGCCAAACTTCCAAAACTTTAAAAGGATTTATTGGGAGTTAACATGTCGGCACTGCCTGGGTGTAGCCGACTCTGAGACACATCATTCACTGTCACCCTTGACCCTGGTTTTCCCCCACCCCCTGGGTGTATCGTAATTCATATTCTCCAATGGGACACAACCATAGCCCAGAGTCATCAGTCATGCTCTCCAGTTAGAATTTTGCACGGCAGAAACTTCACAGTCACCTAGTTAATATCTCTGAAAAACTATTTATGGAATGCTCTTTCTATTTCCAAGCTGCTGCACTGCTCTTTCAAAACCCATTTCCCCTCCCTTTCTTTGGCAACTCTCAAAAGACCATAGAAATATTTTAGGAGTTGACATTCGGCTCCCCTCACTTCTTAAAGGTGACCCGTACAACACAGAAAGAAAACAAATTTATTGCAGGTATAGGACTTAGGGTTGCGAAACACACACACAAACACACACACACCGGCTTGGTTGGGTTTTCTGCATGCAACCTTGCCACAAGGCGATCGGCTTGAACGTTCCTGCTCTCTACCCAAGATGCCTCTGATAAGGGCATCTTATTAAACTTGATGAAATATTGGAGTTGTCTCCTGTGCTACCTCGAATCGAGAATTCGCTGTACCTCATAATGGGTTTGGCCCCTACGACCACGGGTCTGGGGCCCTGACAGGGTCCTAAATCCTTTTTTTCCAGTGCCGTTGTAACTCTAAGTGAATTGCTGTAATTCAAATACCCCCTGCCTGTATTTCTGTGCGTGGACACTTAACACAAGTGGTGTGTTTAGAGAAATAGGTTTCAATAGGGGGACCTATTACCACAACACACAGTCTTCACATTTTCCACACGGGGAACTCTGGGGACAATATGATCCTTAGTTTATGGCCGCAAATGATTCCCATGCCCAGATTGTGCGAGTTGCAGGCTCCTTACGTTGTGATCTCCATCGTGGGAACGGCAAGCGGGGGCTTTTCAAGACCTCCAAGAGTTCCTTCTGGCCCGGTTGACCAGCTTGGAAGATCCGTGAAAATATAAACGAGCGACTTAGTGAATCCAGGGACCAGCTTTGGTTGGACTGAATCTCACACAGACACACACAGACACAGACACACACACACACCATCATCCTGCCAAAATGCTAATTGGTTCCCATCAAACATTAAAAAGGGGCAGTGTGGTGGAAGGAAAAGAGCTTTGGCGAAATTTCCAGACGTATTTTTATGAAATCCAAATTGGGAAACTGGCAGGTTTCTCTATCAACTCTCTCTTGCGTGTGTCTCTCTCTCTCTTCCTTTATGTCTGTGTGTATGTGCGTGCATGTGCATGCATGTTCAGCCGAGACCGCATGTTTCCTAGGGGCTTCTCCAAATCCAGAGGATTTTCCACATTTACAGGGAAGGGAAAATACAGGAAGACATTAAAAAGCGAAGAAATGAAAACAAGATGTCCGTGGATTTTTTTATTTTTTAAAAAAACGGGATGGCCATTTGTTTCCAACTAGTTCTGCAGCTTACATCAGTTTCTTCACCCTGAGCACTCTTCTCGTGTTAGCAGTCCATTTATTCTACCTTTGGAATACATTGTCCTTGTTGTTATTTCGATTTATTGACTTTCAGGGAAGGAATGGCAAAGTGAAGAAAGTGGAATTGATGAGTGGCAGAACAGAGAGAGCCAAGGAGGTAGAACTTGTCCATTCCACTCTGGACAAGGTACTAAGACCACTCTATATAAAGCCTTAGCAAGACCACGCCTAGAATACTGCGTCCAGTTTTGGTCACCAAAAGAGGTTGAGACTCTGGAAAGAGCGCAGAGAAGAGCAACCAGGATGATGAGGGGACTGGAGACTAAAACCTACGCTGAACGGGGGCAGGAACTGAGCATGGCTAGTCTAGGGAAGAGAAGGACCAGGGGAGACAGGATAGCAGTCTTCCAATATTTGAGGGACTGCAACAGAGAGGAGGAAGGGGTCAAGATATTTTCCAAGGCATCAGAAGAACAGACAAGGAATAATGGATGGGAACTGATCAAGGAGAGATTCAACCTGGAAATAAGGAGAAACTTTCTGACAGGGAGAACAATCAACCCATGGAACAGAAGTTGCCCTCGGAAGTTGTGGGAGCTTCATTCCTGGAGACTTTCAAGAAGAGACTGGACTGCCATTTGTTAGAAATGGTGTAGGGTCTCCTGCTTGGGTGGGGGGGATTGGACTAGATGACCTACAAGGTCCCTTCCATCTCTGTTAATCTGTTAAATCCGACAAGAAGAAGAATGGAGATTGCTCACAAGTGCTCCTGACAGTTACCCCTGGGGAGAAGACCTCCAGGCATGCTTTGAAGTGTTGTGGGGTGAAATTTCAGGAACCAGAGACGCAGGGGGGTAGCTGTGAAATGTTTGCAGTCCTGGAGTCAGGGATGATCCGCTGAGAACAAATAGCAGCCAAGGTCCCAGATCCATGTATGCAAAATAAATTAAGATTTTTCTCTGTGCAGAAGCTGGGAGGCGCCTTCGTTCAGCCTCATAATAGATTTTCCTTTTCATAGACGTGTATAAATTTAAGCGTATTTTATGGATAGCTCCCGTGACCGTTCTGGATCTCCCTGTCCCTTACAGGAGGATGATGAGAAGATCATCCACGAAATTCAGAAGGAGGCGGAAGAAGAACAAAAGAGAAAGAACGGAGGTTGGTTTAAACTTTGCGTGGGATAGAATGGATAAGAACGGCAAAGCTGCGTTAAGTGGGGGACATTTCTCTTGACCAATAAAGGAGAATATAGCTCCGGGTTGAAATGAGGGGACCATGGGGGCTCTCTGAGCTTGGTGGTTTCCTTGCAGACATTTCGTGACCCAACAAGATAACATCATCAATGCTGGAAGGGAGTGGGGTTTGTGGAGAAGAAGAGGAAGGGAAAGGAAGGGAAGGAGAAGGTGAAGAAATGGAGGAGGAGAAAAGGAGAGGAGAAGGGAGAGGAGAGGGAGAAGGAAGATGGTAGAGGAGAAGGTGAAGAAATGATGATGGAGAAGGAGACAGGAAGAAAGGAGTAAGAGGAGAAGGTAGAGGAGAGGGAGAAGGAAAATGGAGGAGGAGGAGAAAAGAAGGAATGATGACGGAGGAGAAGGAAGACTATGGGGTCCTTGGTGCTCTCTGAGCTTGGTGGTTTCTTGCAGACATTTCATTACCCAACTAGGTAGCATCATCAGTGCTAGAAGGAAGTGGAGTTTGTGGGGTGGGGGAGGACTGTGGGTGTCCTTGGTACTCTCTGAGCTTTCATTACCCAACTAGATAATATCCTCAGTGCTAGAAGGCAGTGGGTTTGTGGAGAGGAGGAGGAGGAGGACTGTGGGGTCCTTGTTGCTCTCTGAGCTTGGTTGCATTCTTGCAGACATTTCATGACCCAACTAGGTAACGTCATCAGGGCTAGTCCATGTGTGTCATTATAGAAATACAGACGTGGCACCCAGGTCAGTCCAAATGACCTGGTTGCTTCATCCTCTAGTAGGAAACCCATTCAAACCAGGGCTCCCATAATTCTTTTTAAGTTACCACCTACTTACCTACCTTCTCTTTCTTATATATATATATGTGTGTGTTTGTTTGTTTTCTTTTGCAGAAAACAGTTTTAAGCGGATCGGCCCTCCGGCAGAAAAACCCGCCGAGAAGATCCCGCGGATTGAAGCCATCCCCAGGCCGGTTCCCCAGAACCTCCACCACCACCACCACCACCACCACCACCAAATACGCCCCTACCCCTTCGGCCACCCCCCTTTCCCCCTCCCCCCGGTGCACCCCCTCTACAACAACCTCGGCCCCATCAACCTCGGCCCCATCCCGGCCCCTTACGTCCCCCCGCTGCCCAACATGAGAGTGAACTACGACTTCCCCCAAATGAACCTGCAGTTGGAGCACAACCTGCCTATGCACTTCGGGCCTCAGCCTCGCCACCGGTTCTGACCCAATATTTGGGAGGAGGCGCCGTTCCTTCCGGAACTTGCTGCAGGGAAAGTCCACACACTGGTTGTCGATGCTCCCCACCCCACCCCTCACTCCACAAAACCGCAACGTCCGTCTTCGCTCTGGTTCCCTCCCGCTTCCCCGTGATCTTGTCTCCCACTCCAGAGGTCCATTTCCCTGCCCTCCGCTAGGTGCAGGGGAGCCCAAGTTTGCAATAAGGGTCTTCCAACTTGGCCCGATTTAAGACTTGTGGACTTCAGCCCCTGATCTAGAGGACGCCTGAAGAAGACACGCTGGCTAGGTTCCACCACCTTCTCCTGCAACGTAACTCTCTGGCTCAAGGGCCTCCCAACTTGGCGAGTTGAAGATTTGCGGGCTTCAACTCCTAGAATTCCTGAGCTGACATCATAGCTGGAGGAGGAATTCCGAGAGTTGAAATCCACAAGTCTTAAAGCGGTCAAGTTTGGAGACCCCCTGCAATAAGGGTTTATCCCGGCACTGTTGATTTCTCTCCAGGTGCTCTCGGCGTCTGAGGAGAAGGGCTTCCACAGGAGGTGGGTTGGAGGGGCGACAGCATTGCCCAAACATGTTCTGGGTCAACTCCTTCCACAGCTGCAAGACCTCCCAGCATCTCCACCCAAGCAGCGGTAGAGGGTTGGTAGAGGAACGCTGGAGTATTTGAACTGCTCAGGTGGTTCCTTCCCAGAAAGCCAGCCATGGTGAGGTTTTCTTGGCTTAGATCAGAGGTCTCCAAACTTGGCAACTTTAAGACTTGTGGACATCAACTTGAGACTTGAAGTTGAAGTTCACAAGCCTTAAAAGTTGCCAAGTTTGGGGACCCCTGGCTTAGATCTTCCAGGGCTTCCCTCTTCTGCTAGGAAAAGCAGGGTAACCAGGTGCCCTTTTTTAAGAAGGGGGTCGGGGGTTCCTAAAAGCCAGCTTGGAGAGGCCCTCGGAAATTTGACACGCCTTGAGGACAGCTCGGTGGGGCGGCTTGGAAAGTCACAAACCAGATCGGTCTTGGAAATCGGTGGGGCGGCCATCGCCCCTGGCCGGCTTCCGCTTTTCAGGATCTTGTGTCTGGAGTTGGAACCCTGATTTGGCCATTGGCGCCAAAGCATTATGGGTCCCATGGAGGTTTTTCCTCTGCCGTTGCGTGGAGTGAAGCGATGACGATCTGGCTGGCCTACAAAGAGGTCAAAAGTATTGGGGTTCTGGGGAAAGACAGGTGTGCAATTGGGTTTGGGCCCCCTCCGCATTTCTCTGGCGTTGGGGTGAACGCTCAGGTTGCTCCCACAGCTGGGAGAACTGCCCCAATGCACCCTGGACCTCCCCCACTTCCCCCCCTCCTTACCTGTGGGAGCACCTGGCTCTAAGCTCCCTTATGCATCCTCCAGCTCTTGAAGCCCAGGTGTGAAGAGGTCACCAGGAAGTGAGATCCATTTAGGGCTTGAGTTGTTCAGCGGAGGTTTATTTGAAGAGCTGGCTTTAGACCAGTGTTTCTCAACCTGAGTGGCGTTAAGAGGAGTTAAGGCTTCGACTCCCCGAGTTCCTCGGCCAACTGTGGGAGTCGAAGCCCACCCACCTTCAAGCCCAGACTTCCCAGCCAGCTCTGGGAGTTGAAGTCCACCCACCCCATTAAGGTTGAGAAACAACGGTTTAGATCGTTTGGATGGATGGAATCCGTTCTCCAAATCTTCCACTTCTCCCAGACATCCCCTTCCAATCTTTTGCACACCTGTACCCCCCTTCGGTCCTCTGTAGCTTCAATACCCTCCTTGGAAGAGTTGTGACCTCCAAAACACGCCAGAAAGTCCCTGCGTGATCAGCCAGCCCCACCAGAGCTTGGAGGAGAAGGAAGTAAGCACCACGGCTGGTCCTTGTGATTTCAGGAAGGAAGAACGGGTGGCGTCTTCAGAAACAGCTTCCCTTCCCAAACCTAACAGCCAAGCACATCGGGTGGATGACCTTTCTTCCAAAGAGTTGGCCAGCGAGGGTCTCTCTGGGTCACAAGTCTGGAATCTGAGAGCCTCTTGCATCTTGGTAGACGCCAGGTTGGGGGGGGGGGGGGGGGAAACGTTGCAGAAAATGGCTGTCGTCTTCTAAACATAAATCCAAACTTCCCCCACAGTTTCCTTTGGGGCCTTGGCTCAGCTCAAAGCAATAGAATACAAATGATAGTTTTTGAACATGGACTAGCTTTGTTTGTCTCCCAAATCGCTCCCTCCCTCCTTCATTTTTTTTTCCCTTTAAATTTCCTCTATGAGAAAAAACTATATATTGACAGGATCCTTTGGCCATAGCAAAGAGGCCCGAGGCCTGTGAATATTGTGATTTCTTCCCTCCTTCCATTACATGCGGAAAGGAATCAGAACCGCCAGGAAAGGGCTGCTTTCCAAGAGTTTCCTCCCTGATTCTAGCTACTGGTTTCCTTTACATAATATTAACAAACCAGGATTTATGTTTGCTTTTTATCCCTCCTCCAGTTGACATTCTCCCCTTTCCTCCTGGACATGATCATGCAACTCCCGATTCTTTACCGCTAGGCTTTCAAATTATTCTGAAATAAACCGGTGATCCTTTTGAACAGCTGTTCACTTCCAGGGTAGGGGGCTCACACAACCCAGCGTGTATGTAGATCTACATAGCCCACATAATGCCCAATCGATAAGGATTGATCAGACTGATTGATAGCACAATGTTCCCCCTGGCAAATTTTGGACCCTTGGCGAAAGAATGGGATGCATTCCACGGTGAAAATATATCTCGGTGTTGGGACTGGCTGGGAATTTCATCCAATAGGAGCCATATTTTCTTGACGTTCTTCCATCCCAAAGTTTCCTGTTGTCTTCCATTCCGCATGTTGCCATTCCGGCTCTGTCTTAGCCACGTAAATTCAAAATCGTGTCTTTCCTTTGCTGTCGTTCGGCCACGAAAACCAAGCCCACGAACCACGTTAAGTCCAAGTTGATCTGATAACTGCTATATGGATCTTATTCAGGTTTTTAAATCTGCACCTTAACCTTAAACTGTTGGCTTCTTGGAGGTAGCAATTATTCATCTCTATAAATGTAAAAATTAGCTACTGCTTAAAACCCAAAAGGGACCTGTTTCTCCTAGAAGTACTTGAGTTTAGAACGAATCCTCATTCCTAGGAAATTGAGTTCTTTTGCATCTTAAAGCTTTTTTTTAAAAAAAACATATTCTGGATAGGTTTTGGCTATTTGGGCTAGTTTTAAAATGAAAAGGACTTAACCTCCTTCATTCTTCTCCTACATCATTCATCTGCTGATGCAGAAATTCCCTTCTTCCTCTTCCTTCTTGTGCTTTGAGTTCCAAAATATTAGCTCAGCTTTTTCTGTTGGGTAAAGGTTGAATTTATTTACTCCTGGTTGTAGAAAATCCAACCTGCCTCTTTGATATCATTTCTGTAAGAATCTTGAACAAGGAGTTGGAACAAGGTTGCCCATAACAGGTGGGGGGAAATTCTTTTATCATTTAACTCAAGAGGTGTCCAACCTTGGCTACGTCAAAACCTGTGGACTTCCAACTCCCAGAATTCTCCAGCCAGCCAAGATCCTTACAGAAGTGAAATTCTGGGAATTGGAAGTCCACAGGTCTTAAAGTTGGAGCCCCCTGATTTAACTAGTAATTTCCATTTTTGGTGGGATAGAAAAGAAGGCCAGACTCTCATCACTAGCCATGTTCACCTTATATTTCAGCATCTTCTGGAGAACTTCACTCATGGTTTAGGAAAGACAGTCTTGGACTTTTGGAGGTTGTCTCCCAGTTCATTTGAGGAAGAAACTATGGGTAGGAAGAAGCCCAAAGCATCAAGAAAGGTATTTGTGGACAAAGACATCTGACTCCCATTGGCTCTTTGCTTTTTTCCAAAATTACCTACAAGCTTCTCAGAAGGAAGGGACTTCCCAAAACATGCAGTCTCAAGAATCGTCCAGTTTTAATCAATTCCCACTGAGATGATTGATTGATTGATTGATTGGCCTGATCTGTAACAGGTAATGTCGTACCAAACCCATCTTTTTTTTTTAAAAAAAATATCCCTGACTCTTTAAAACTTGGAAGATGGGAAGGCGGTTTTGCCACCATGCCTGCAGAGCTTCTGCAGATGAAATGGGGAGAACCGCCTGCAGTCTTAAAAGCCACCCCTGGTCTTCAGCTGTCCCTTCTGAAGGAGACGGGATCCTACCAAGGTGTTGGCAAAGAGATTACAAACCCAACCAGCCTTCAGACCTTCTATTTTTTCTTTTTTTCCCTTTCTGGATCAGGGCTCCAGCAATAGGGTAGATCAGAGGTCTCCAAAGTTGGCCACTTTAAGACTTGTGGACTTCCAACTCCCAGAATTCTGGGAAGCCCTCAAGTCTTAAAAGTTGCCAAGTTTGGGGACCCCTGTGGTAGATGAATCTTTGAGGCTGTGGGCCAGCCAGTGACTTTCTCCGCTTCGCTTTTTTACAAAGCCATGTTGGTTGGTCGGTCTGTTTTTTTTTTTCTTCCTCTTTTTAATCCGAACTTCCCTGAGTCTTTTAAACGGACATGCCTACAAGTGGAAAATTAATTGGATGGAGAGTGGAATTTGTATGAAATTCCATTTTGGGGGTGTGTGTTTTTTATTGGTAGCTTCTTTATATATATATATATATCTCTTCAAAAGCATTCATCTCTTTACGGGTAGACATGAAGTGTATGGATTCCCTCTCCTCTACCCCCCCCCCCCCCCCCCCCCCCCCCCCCCCCCCCCGCTTTGAGATTTTAATAGGTACTTTCTATTATCAACTTTGCAGTGTTGCATTTAACTTGCCTTAAAAGGTGGAGAGAGAAACTTAGCAATTTGCACTTAGCAAAAAGAGAGAGAGAGAGAAATTAATTTAAAGGAGCAAAGCCCTATCAAGGGGAGAGTTGCATGTTCTAAAACTTTGTATAATATAGCTGAAAACTAAAAAGAAAAAAAAAGAAAAGAAAAAAGACCCAAAACCAGGAGAGAGGGAGGGGAAAAAAAGAATATTTTTCTTTACCTTCTGGTAGGAAACCACTCTAATCCGCGTGTAAAAAGTTTCTGTATTATATTGTAATTTCAATTTTTTTTTTGTAATTAAAAGAAAAATTTGTGCTCCCTGTTTTTTGTTTTTTTTTAACGTCTCCTGGTTTCCTACGGAGGATCCATCCCGAAGGACGTGGCCCACGGCCATGCCAGATCGCTCGGTTGCCCTCATCTGCAAATCTTCAAATTCCTGCAGTTCAAAACAGTTGCCTTGCCCAGGGTGAAAACGGCGGAAATCTTATCACCCAAAAAAAAATATTAAAACTTTTTGTTTTAAGAGCCATGGTAGCGCAGTGGTGAGAAATGCAGTATTGCAGGCTAATTCAGCAGTTCGATCCTGACCGGCTTAAGGTCGACTCAGCCTTCCGTCCTTCCAAGGTGGGTAAAATGAGGACCCAGATTGTTGGAGGCAATATGCTGGCTCTGTAAACCGCTTAGAGAGGGCTGTAAAGCGGTATATAAGTCCGCTACAGCTTGCAAAGGAAGCAAGCAAGAAAGCCATAGTGGTGCAGTTGTTACAATGCGGTTGTCAGGGCTCCGGCATCCAGCCTCATTTAAATCATGAGTCTCTAGCCACATCTCTCAAGAGTTTAAAGATGATTTATTAGGAGTGAACTAGGTGCTACCTGGGTGCAGCCGACTCTGAGACACATCATTCATTTCCCCCTGCCTTGACCCTGGTCTTCCCCCACTCCCTGGATGTATATTCTCCAATGGGACGCATCCATAGCCAAGAGTCATCAGTCATGCTCTCCAGTAATAATCTTGCGTGCCAGAAGCTTCGGTCTCCTAGAAATGATCTATGAAGCATTTAAGGAATGTACTACTTCCCCTATCCCCTTTCTGCTGGCAACTCTAAAAGACCAGAGAAATATTTGTGAGTTGACAGCAGTGTTGCAGGCTAACTCTGCATTCCCACTGTCTGGAGTTCGATCCTGACCGGCTCCAGGTTGACTCAGCCTTCTGTCCTTCCATGGTGGGTAAAATGAGGACCCAGATTATTGGGGACAAGAGGCTGACTCTGCAAACAGCTGTAAAGCACCATGAAGCTGTATATAAGTCTAAGGGCTATGGCCATTAAGCTATCCCAAATGCTCATGTACACAAAGAACACAGGTAGTCCTCACTTTACGACCACAATTGACCCTTAAATTTTTGTCGCTAAATGAGACATTTGTTAAGTGGATTTCGCCTCGGTTTTACGACCTTCCTTGCCACGGATGTTAAGTGGACCACTGCCGTTCAGGGAGTAACACCAATTTTAAGTGAATCTGGCCTCCCCATTGACTTGGCTAGACAGAAGGTCGCAAAATGAGATCACACAACTTTGGGTGAACGGTTTGGCAAGCATCTGGATTCAGATCACGGGGCCACTGCGAAGGTCGTAGCAATGAAAAAAAAAGGACGCCAAGTCCCATTGTTCAGTGCCATCGGAACTTCGAACGGTTGCTAAATGGGGACTGCCGGTAGTGATTTTCATCACTTCTTCGCTGCAAGGACGAAGGAAGTGGGGGAGTCCTGCGTGCTCACCATTTCTGAGCAGCTGCTAATCTGGGATAAAGAGGAAGGGGCGTTTGGGGAGGATGACACTGCCTGCTTGGGGGTGGGGTGGGGGTTTAATTTCACCCCTTAAATGAAGGGGCAGCTGTGGGTAGAAAAATGACAAGGATGTCTCAACAATTAGCTTCGCATTTCAAACGCGAGAGCACTCAAGTGTCAACCTGTCTTCCCAGCCTGGTTGAGCGCCGCCCGTTGCAGTCGGCTTTTGGGAATCCGGTAAGCTGATCCTCTGCATAAAATTAGCCATGGCGAATGCTTTTTTTTTTTTCCCCCTCCTCTCCCTCCTCCCACAGCTGTGTGAGCGTCTTCCACCCACAAATTCTTCCCCAGCCATCGCTCCTTGGTAACGGATGCTTGATTGGGTCTGTAGGGGTCCTTGGTAGCTCTCTGAGCTTGGAGGTTTACTTTTCATGACCCAGCTAGATAATTGCAGAAAGATTGCCTATGGGGCATGTAAACAAGAACGCTTGGGAACACTGATGATGTTCCCTAGGTGGGTCATGAAATGTCTGCAAGAAAACATTCAAGCTCAGAGAGCACCAAGGACCCCATAGTCCTCCATCTCCACCATTATTTCTTCTTCACCACCACCATCTTCCTTCTCCCTCTCCTCCTCCTCTCTTCTCTTCCTGTTTCCACCACCATTTCTTCTCCACCACCATCTTCCTTCTCCCTCTCTACCTTCTCCTCTTCTTCCTGTCTCCACCACCACCATGGAAAGCACCATGGATCCCATAGTCTTCCTCCTTCACCATTATTCCTTCTCTTCTTCACCACCACCATCTTCCTTCTCCTTCTCCTTTCCCTTCTCCTACTCCTCTCTTCTTGTCTCCTCCATTACCATTTCTTCTTCACCTTCCCTTCCCCTCCTCCTCCTTTCCACAAACCGCACTCCCTTCCAGCGTGGATGACGTTATCTTGTTGGGTCATGAAACATCTGCAAGAAAACAACCAAGCTCAGAGAGCACCAACTCTCTGTTCATTTGAACCCTGAGCTACAAATAGTTTGTTCCATTTGGTTGGGTCTGCTTGGGCAAATATCGCCTCTTCCAAAGAAGATTAAGCAACAGAAGGCTAAACTGTTAGCAAAATCAAACCCATGAGCAGGAGGGACAATGACCGTACCAACTTGGGGTGCATCTAGCTGTACCCCCAAATTCTGCACCCCCAAATTCTGCACCCCCAACCAGTGCTTGGAAGCTATTTGCAGACTCTTGTCTGGTAGCCTTCCTTGAATCTCAATACAGGTAGACCTCATTTAGCGACTGCCTCACACTGCGTTCGCAGTTACGATGGCGATGAAGAGGTACCTTTGTGACTCACGGCCCCATGTAAAGCCTCCACAGCATCTCTTTCTCAGTCAAAGGTTGGTCCTTACAATCGGCTTGTTAAGCGAGTGGTGATCACACGATTTTTCACTTAGCAGCCGCTTCGCTTAGGGAACCTCATTGCCGATCTCAAATTTCGGTTACCGAACGCAGAAGGCCTGGAAAAGATTCCTGAATCGGACTTCCTTGCAGATTTTCACAGCTGGTTCTGTCTGTCAGGATTCCAGCAGTTTCCCCCATTTAAATCATGAGACTTGAGCCAAACTTCCAAAACTTAAAAAGGATTTATTGGGAGTTAGCATGTCCAGCACTGCCTGGGTGTAGCCAACTCTGAGACACATCATTCATTGTCACCCTTGACTTTGGTTTTCTCCCACCCCCTGGGTGTATCCTAATTCATATTCTCCAATGGGACACATCCATAGCCCAGAGTCATCAATCATGCTCTCCAGTTAGAATTTTTACACAGCAGAAACTTCGGTCACCTAGTTACTATCTTTGAAAACATTTATGGAATGCAGTTTCGGTTTGCAGGCTGCTGCACTGCTCCCCCCTCCCTTTCTGTTGGTAACTCTAAAAAGACCAGAGAAATATTTTATGAGTTGACACTGTTCTCGGCATCAGTTGTAAAGAAACTGCATACGATCGACGGTTTTGGCTACAGATTTGCCAGCAACGAGATCCGAAAGGCCTTGAGCTTTCCAAGAGAGAGAACCAAAATTGCATTTTTTTTTTCACAGCCCACCTCGGTCCACGCGCGGATTCCGTGAAACGAAACAGGAATTGGGCAGGTTCCTGCCTAAACCCAAGGCTGGTCATCTTTTGCTGCTTCCAAGACAAACAGCCAAGAAAACAAGCCATCATCAAAAAGCAAGCTAGCTGTTGGAAAGCATGTCTCAACCTGTCTTTTGACAAGTTTTCTTTGTGGCGTGCTGCCCTATATTAACGAGACTTCCAAACAGAGCAAGAAGTGGCAGTTTTGCTGCAAGAGAACAGAGTTCATCCTTCCATTTAAAAATCTGATTTTTAAAAAATTCGGTGTATTTAGGAGGCAGGTTAAAATCTGATTTTAAAGGGAATTCTCAGCGTTTCCTTGCACATCCGTTCTGTCTTCCTTTCTTTTTTTTAATTCATTGTCCTCTCTCTCTCTCTCTCTCTCTGCTTCCCTCGTTGCTTTTAATGACACTGGAGAGAATTGGAAAAGGTCAGCAGGCAGCAGCTGAGCCAAGGTTCAAAACCTCAAGGATGCTGTTAATTGCTCTTTAAGAAGGAAGCCAAGGCAATTGCCTTGGGGGGGGGGGGGGGGGGGGGGGAGAGAAGAGAATTTCAGATGGTAACTCTGAATATTTGAATCTTAATAGCCGTTTCTTCTCCCTTGAGTCATCCCCTGGAGCCGTGCCCAGACCTTTGTAATAAGGGAAGTGTAATTTTATTTTTAAAATTATTTATATAGCAGTCCCACCTCATGCAACTGACTCAAGGTGGCTTAGAAGATTTTTTAAAAAAACAAAAAACAAAACTCCCCAACCTTCCCCACACCCCAATTCAAGAATAAACTTGTTAAAAATTAACCACCCCTTGCAGCAAACTGATCTTTTGATCCAAAGCATCTTCAGATTTCACCCTTTTCTGTAAAGGTCTCCAGGACTTAGAATAGAATAGGAGCTGGGAGGGACCTTGGAGGTCTTCTAGTCCAGCCTCCTGCTCAAGCAGGAGAACCTATGCCATCTCAGACAAGTGACTGTCCAGTCTCTTCTTGAAAACCTCCAGTGATATGGGGCATCCACGATTTCTGGAGGCAACTTCTATTCCACTGGTTTAATTGTCCTCACCGTTAGGAAGTTTCTCCTTAATTCCATAATTAATGGCTTCTGTCCTTGGTGAGTTTCCAGCCATTGGACTCCTGAATTGTGTTCTTCTCGGGCTTCCAAATGCGTTGGACCTGAGTCCCCATAATCCCCTGCCCACACTGGCTGGATTTGCGGAGATCGAAACCGAGAAATCAGGAGGAAAGTTGCACTATCGCAATCGCCACTTATCTTTCTCTTTTGTTTCAGTCGTTTGGGACTCCCGTCACTCTGCAGCATCTGAAGAAAGTTTAAACTTGCTTTTTTTTTAAAACAACAACAACGACAACAACTTTGTTGCATCAGTCAGGGGATTGGTCTGAAGTAGCAAGGAGGTTGCTGCAGATTAATCTCTCTCCCTCCCTCTCCCTTTCTCTCGCTCACTCTGTTTCTCTCTGTGTGTCTGTGTCTCTCTTCCCCCTCCTTTCTCTCCCTCCCTCTCTTTTTTCGATCTCTGTCTCTGTGTGTGTGTCTCCCTCTCTTTCTCTCTGTCTCCCTCCCTCCCTCTCTCTGTTTATGTTTCTGTCTCTCTCTGTGTGTGTCTTTCTCTCTCTGTCTCGCTTTCTTTCTCTCTGTCTCTCTCTCTGTCTCTGTCTCTCTCTCTCTTTTCTCTCTCTTTCTCTCTGTCTCTCTCTCTCTCTCTCTCTGGGGTTTGCAAGTCCCCATTTTCGATCTTCCAGGCACGATGCTCGGTCAGGCCTCATCGCCATGGCAACGGGAGGGCCTCATCTGTCAGCAGCCCTGTTTTTATTAAGGGTCAGTTCCTGCAGCTCTGCAAGCCGCCGTGGGGGCCGGTTTGCCTTGGGAAGGAGCTAAAAGGCCTATGGAACCCTCCGGCAAGCAACTCGGTGAAACTACAGGTGCTCCTCAACGACCACAATGGAGCCCCAAAATTTACGTTGTTAAGTGAGACGTCGGTGAAAGGGACTTCCCCCCCCCCATTTTATGGCTTTTCTTGCCGCGTCTGTTAAGCGAATCGCTGCCGTTCTTAAATGAGCAGCCCGGTCGCTAAGTGAATCTGGCTTGCCCCATTGACTTGGCTTTGTTAGAAGGTCGCCAAAGGGGAATCACGGGACGCTGTGACCGTCATAAACGCGAGTCAGTTGCCAAGCGTCCAAAGGTCAGCCACGTGACCATGGGGATGCTGCAGCGGTCATAAGTGTGGGGGAAAAACAGTCGCTATCCCTTTTCCCAGTGCTGTTGTCCCTTCGGTCACTAAACGAACTGTTGCACGCCGAGGACTACCTGTAGTCAGTACCTCTGGGCTACGTGGGGGATTCGGGACTCAAAGAGAGCTTGGATATGTCCACGGTTCATTAAGCCACCGTGGCTGGGTTCCCTACCTTGAGTCCATGAGACAACGGAGCCCTGGGAGAGTGAGGACATTCACACATTGCAATGGGCTTAGCAGCTTTGGTTTAGTCATCAAACCTTGGTTCAACAGTGGGTGAGAATCAGTGGTGGGATTCAAAATTGCTTTACTACCGGTTCTGTGGGAGTGGCTTGGTGGGCGTGGCAGGGGAAGGATACTGCAAAATCCCCCTTCCCTCCCCACCCCACTAACCTGCTTTCCAGCTCCGTTCTCCTGCGCAGGGCAACCAAAGAAGACCCAGCCGATCAGCTGTGAGTGTGGCTTGGTGGGCGTGGCAGGGGAAGGATCTGCAAAATCCCCCGCTAACCTGCTTTCCAGCTCTGTTCTCCTGCGCAGGGCAACCAAAGGAGAGCCAACCGATCAGCTGGGACTCCATGGGAGGCAGAGAAGAGATGGGGTTGGTGAGGCCAGTCAGAGGTGGGATTGACCGACGACTCAAAATTTCCACTGCTGGTTCTCCAGAACTAGTCCAAACCATCTGAATCCCATCTCTGGTGTGGTTCCACGTGAGAAACCCATCAACATCTTAAGCCTAACAAGTTGTTGGAGGGCTTAATCCAAAGTGTGAATTCAGCTATGGCCTTGGTGTCACCTTCCTCAGAGTGCTGTCCATGGGACTCTTTTAATATATCCAAAAGATGCCGGATGGGAGAAAGCAAGTTTAATGCAATGCAATGCAAGTCAAACCTGGTTAGGATTTGGAGGGCCGCCCCTTGAACAATATCCATGCCGAGGCTAGCCTGGGAAATCCAGACCCATCACCTAAAAAAATCAAGTGATTTCCCTGTTGCTGTGAAGGGAGAAATGGGAATTGCCAAGCTGAACTCCGAGGAGATTTGAGCTTTTAATTAACGGTGGTTTAATTACTATGGCTTAGCAGGAAATTTAGTTAATACTGGAAACGGCAGAGATACTTCAGCAAAAGAGGCCTCCTCATTCTTTTAGGCAATGGAAATCATGAGAGAAATGGTGGAAGGACCTCAATTCTGCTCCACCGATTTTGTTACTTGTGCATCTTGCTTTTGAACCTCACAAAAGTTTGCTTGCAAGTTGCTGCTGGCAACGGGAACTGCAGTTTAAGGGCCCCCCGTCTTTCCTAAACCGCCTCTGGCTGACCATCTTTATACATCTAATGGGTGCAGAGAAGACCCCAAGAAAGCAAACAGACAAAAGGAAAGACCCTCAGGGGGACTTTTGTTTTCCAATAAAACAAGCATATTTTGTGTAAAGTGCCTTGCGCGTCTTTTTAAACAGTCTGATCTTTATCGGAGTGCCAAATATTAAAGTCCCTGAGCTGAAGGACGGATGCAAATTGCAAGGAACGTTTTCCTGCCCAACAAAACAGATTTTAAAAAAACACCCCAAAAAACTCCTTGGAAACCCACATTTCCTTTTTAAGGAGATGTCTAGCATAACACTTCAAAAGCAACATTAGGATAATGGGGAGATCTAAACAATCATTGCATTAATATCCCTTTCCTCACCACCATCACCATCATTCAATGTTGGGAGAAAAAAAGCTGAAAATTTATGGTTGAGGTCCTGGAGCTCAATTAAAGTTCTTGGGGAATGTGGGATTCCTTGGTGCTCTCTTGAGCTTGGTTGTTTTCTTGCAGACATTTCATGACCCAACTAGGTAACATCATCAGTGCTAGAAGGGAGTGGGGTTTGCTCATTGTCGATAATTCAAGTGGCTTTCTCTGTTTAGTGTTTGTGGGGGCGTTCTTAGTGGACCCCTGATGCTGCTAATTGAGTGGGGAGTTCCTTGATTGGGGTGTTGTTTATTGCTTAGTATTAACCCACCAACACTGTTGTGGCTTACAACTCCACAAAGAGGACACCCCCTTCCTAAACGAATGAGCATTTGTGTCTAAGACGAAGAGGAAAATACACTTTGCAAAGCAAATGGGGTAAAAATGATCTCTAGGAAATGCAGGGCATAAAATACCCCCCTCTTTTGGATCCCGTAAATCACAATTATTTGTGTTTTGCGTACCTTGCTAAGCTACCTTCTGTGGGGTTCGGTGTTTAAGAGAACACCAAGAGTAAAGATAAAAATCCATGGCTCAAATCTCCACCCACCCCGCTCGGCACAAGGAACCAAAACAGCCTCTAAAATAAACAGTCAGGTAGCCATTCGTTTTATATCTGTATGCAGGTTTTTATTTTGTCAATTCTCTTCTCCATTTGATGCTTCTTATACAAATAGCACTTACAAAAAAGTGTTTTTAATAGGGAAAAACGAAACCAAAAAAAATTAACTAAACGTATCAGGATATGAGATGCTTTTCAGAGCCACAATAGTCAAGGAAATAGAAGGCAAGGATTCTTGACTTAAAAAACTGTTACAGGAGGAAAGGCAGTGAGGTGTACATGATCCAAATCCCACCAGGTGGGCAAAAGACACAAGACACAAACTCTGAAGGCCAACTGGGTAGTCATCTCTGCCCCCCCCCCCCCCAATTGTGGTTTCTTTCACAAAGTTTTTTTTAAAATAGTTTCCAGAACTTCAGCGCAGTCCAGTTAAGATTCCCAGGCAAACTCCAGCTCAAACCCTCTTATTCATAAGGCAAATAATTTCCATTGCTATAAAGTTAAGAGCACCAATTCCTATTGAAGTCACCTTATGGATGGCAGAGTGTGGATGCTTTTTTTAAGGCTTAGGATGGGTCCCCGCTGTTCTCCCTCGGTTAATCAAAAACCCACCAACCCCTTTTGAAAATTTGGCAAGCCCCGCTCCCTGTAAAGTTAACGCATTGAGCAAATACAAATCTGGATCTTACAAATTCACGGATTTGGGTAGAAAGAGAGCACCATTTCAAGCCAAGTCCCCGCGGATTTCAGGTTAAACCCTGGGGGTCTGCTTGGCCTAAGGAAACAGAGATTAAAACCCCAAGAAGGCATCCCATCAGACAACTACAAAATAATAATAATATAATAAATCCACACAAAATGTGCGTGCACAGAAGACTCTTTCGGACCGCCGAAGAGTTAAGCAACGTGTTACAAAGATCGAAGTTGGCCATGCCGAACAACAAACCCTAGTAGGGTGACTAATGTTAGGTTGGCTCGGAGGGCAGGTTGATCTAAGTAAGTCAAGAAAAGACAATTCCTGTTCAACTTTCCGTGTTTAGGGGTTCAGTGGGGCAAAGTGCAAGGTGATGTTTGGGTACCATCCTGGGGACACCCTCACGTAGCTTGTCGAGAGAAGAGATGAGATGAGATGTGGGAAGCTGCTGAGAAGCACAAGCCAGAAATGGCTGCATTGACTCAGAGTTTTACAATTTGGGGAGGGGGGGAAGGGGGTAGTGAGATGCGAAGACGACAAATTGCAGTTCAGGTCAACAGGTAGAACGATGTAGCAGACGGGTATTGTGCAAATGATGCTAATTTAAGGAACAGAGATAGTTGGCGATGGAGGGTTCCCCTGAAAAGTTTGTGGACATGCAGCATGGCTTCACCTCTGCTTGATCTCCTCCTCCTCCTGTTACCTTCCCACCCCCTCAATCTCATCTTTCACACCTCCCCCCCAAATCTACCAAGACATTTCAGTGGGGTGTACTTGGGAGGAAAACCAAGAGAGATCGACAGGTCTCCATTCTGCAGCGTGTGTCATGAAGTTCTTGCTCAACTGGAGACCTCTCTCCAAACCAGTTTTTATCTGGTGGGGAAAACCGCCCTCCGTCATGGATGAACGGTGAAATAGAGACACAGGAGATGTTTGAGATGGTTCTCCCCAGCCAAGGCAAAAGGGAGGGGAGAGAAATGACGCGCGGACATATTAACGTGCAACTCAACGCCTTCATCTGATGCATCCATCCGTAAAGCAACGGCTTCAAGGTAGCCCTGGCCTGCTCTTAACGAAATGCTAAGACCCCAAATTATTATGAGAAGGTATAAAAGAGGGGGGGGGAGGGACATTTGGTAACGGATGCCCCTTTCAGGGAGAAAGGGAAAGGAACCATAAGACAACATCGATGGCCTCTCGGCATGAGTCGGGGGAGACATTCAGAGATGCTTTGGGGGGCAAGAAGAAACGAGGAATTCGCTCGGATCGTCGAGGATGAGATGAACGCACGAAGGAGGTCCAGTTGGATTCCATCCAGGAAAAAGTAGCTCGTTTGGTCTGTGAGCGTAAGACCTGCTTTGGTAGCTCACCTTAAAGAGTCACATCGTGACTTCTTCCCCTACCCGCTTCTCTCGTCCCGTGGAATGATGACAAGATACGCTAAGCTGCTTCTTCTCTACCTTCGCCAGAGAATGGGGATGAGTAACTTAAAAAGCCAAGGAAGAGAACTCTTCATTCCTACTTACAGAAGATACCCCAAACTCAATCTGGAAGGCCCAGTTGGAACAAGAGAGTTACGGACGTCCACCTACCCTGGGACAGAAGGTGGGGCGCTGAAGACACCGAACCCCGCGAGGTTTTCCAAAGCGGGGCTCTTGCGGAGCTCAATATTAGCTCTTCCTGAAGACCTTCCTTCTCAGGAGGAGACCTAACAGATGGGTGGGGCACATTTTCTGATTCCAATGGGGACAAATGTATTCCTTTCCGATCCGGAAGGACCGCCAAAGGAGAGATTCGTTCAACCCCCGCCACCCAACTTTTCTCTTCTCTCTTCCTCTCCCCCTACAAACAGTCCGTAAGGTGAGAGCAGGGCATTTTCTGCAGACAAACGATGTTTTTGTTTTGTTTTTTTCTTCCAGTTTTAAATGAACTCACATAATAAAGGGGGGAAAGCCAACTTAAAACAACAAACAACAACAACATGGCAGACCAAAGGTGGCAGCAGGCCAGTCTGGAAAGATAGAATCCCTCTCTTTTGAAAAAAAGACACACCAGAACATACCAAAAGGAAATTCCTGCAGGAAGTTGGCAACCGGAAAAAGGAAGTGGGGGAAGAGAGGAAGCGTAGAGCGAAGGGAAGGAGACTAAAGTGCGTTTAATACTCCCAGAGGGTGGAGGGCTCAATGGCGTCGGCAGAGGCTTTGAGGACCCCAGCGTGGTCGCCCTTCAGGTATTTGTTGTTGACCTTGATGGCCACTTTGTTAAAGTCGCAGAACTCGAAGAAGAAGTCCACGGGAGAATCGCTGCTGCTGGTGATGGACGCCTCGTTTCCCACCATCCAGTATTTCCCAGTGGAATCTGAAAAGGAGAAGAGGAAGAGGGAAGAGGTGAGCTGATTCATTGGAGGCACCTCCAGCAGGGCCACGGGATGTCAGCCGCAAAGGATCAGGACCACCTGTGTGGTTGTCGCATGGAAGATTTATTCAACCCTACTGTTGTGGCCTGGAGGAAGCGTGGGAGTCAGGGCCAGCATCCAGGCAACTTGAGAGCTCCGAGGGGGAAGAGGGAATGGAGCTGGCAGAGAGAGAGAGAGAGAGAGAGAGCCTAGGCCATCGTCAGCCCCTTAGATGGAGAGTCAACAAGTCTGGAGGTGGCTGACAAAGAAGAGGAGGAACAGCTGGCTCCAGTGCCTGATGCGCGAATGCACAGAAGGCAGAGGAGAGGAGAGTAGTGGAAATATAAGGGCTGAACCTTGGGACAGAAGAGCCACTCTTGCTAGCAAAGCCCCACCCTAGCTCTGGGGATAAAAGGCAGGGGATGGAGATGAATAGATGTGGCAAACAACTATTCATCTTCCAGCCAGACAGCCTTGTTAGCCAGTGTTGAGAGAGAAACTTTTTGCCGGGGCTGCCGACACTCCTAATTAAAGCAATCTTTGAGTTCGCTTCAGAGGTTTTGTCATGTTTGGGGAGCTGGGTCAGAACACCTACACACAAGGACCTGGTCAACTAAAGTTCAACAAAATTGGCACCAAATAAGGGCCAAGGGAATTCAAGTAGAGGTTTTGGATCGTTTGTGGCAATGTAAGGATTCTAGACTGGTGGCTTGCTTAACTCCGCCTCCAGCTCTGCATGATCTTCTCCTACAGTCTCCAAGAGACTCCTTCCCCAAACTATCCGAGCGTCTGTGTCAAGGATCGTTCAACCTGACTTAACGCAAACTTCCTACTTTCAATCTCAACACCTCCAGGACAGGATGTGGAAGACCCCAGCCTTCTCTTGACTTCAGTGTCCATAATCCTCCATGCCGGTGTGCGGCTAAGAATTCTGGGAGTTGACAATAGACTTCAGTATCAGCAACTGATTGGGGAAGACTGACCGATGCCCTATGGAGCGTCTGCCTTGCGGCCAGGGGAAGTCCTTACCTTTGATATTGTAGGCACCATCATTAAACTCCAGCTGAAAGATATCGTAAGAAGACCGATTGCAGTCTAGGGTGCCTGTCATCTTCCGACAGCCGATGAAGCCATGTTCTCCACGGAAAACAATGATGGGTCGGTTGATCAACTTCATGAGGAATTGCTCTGTCTCACCTACCATTGGAGAATGGAGGCATTATTGACCAGGAAACAAACTTTCTTCCCACCATCCAGGTTAGTTCCAATCACCCCAACTCAGGATGGCCACGTTTTTAACCAGTGGCTGCTCCCACCGTGAAAACACCTCCTGAGAGGCAGAGGCAAAGGAAGCACTTACTGGCTGTTTCGACCGTAGCAGCGAGCTGCCCATTCTTCTTGGCAGTGACGTATTTGCCATTGGCGGCTTTGAGAGTGATACGCCGGTCACACCACTCAATGTCGAAGTAACAGTTGGCATTCCTGTTGGAGCAAAGGAGGGTTGAGAAGTGTCAACTCATAAAATATTTCAATGGTCTTTTTAGAATTGCCAACAGAAAGGGAGGGAGGAGCAGTGCAGCAGCTCGCAAACCTAAAGTGCATTCCATAAATGTTTACAAAGATAGTAACTAGGTGACCGAAGTTTCTACTGCAAAAAAATTCTAACTGGAGAGCATGATTGATGACTCTTGGCTATGGATGTGTCCCATTGGAGAATATGAATTATGATACACCCGGGGGGTGGGGGGAAACCAGGGTCAAGGTTGACAACGAATGATGTGTCTCAGAGTTGGCTACACCCAGGCAGCGCTGGGCATGTTTACTCCTAATAAATCCTTTTGAAGTTCTGGAAATTTGGCTCGAGACTCATGATTTAATTGGGGTAACTACCAGAGCCCTGACAAGAAGGGCCTTTCCTGCCGTAGCACCAAGGAGACGGGGAGAACCAGAAGAAGAACATTCCCCAAGCCTTGTCAGGACCACAATGCCACCAAGAATGGTTTGGCCACCCCTGGAGTTGATGGTGGCAGCTTTCCCCCAATTTCTCCACACACTTCTGGGAAAAAAAAGACAGTTTTCTTCTGCTATGGCCTCTGGAGAGCATGATCCACCCATCTCTACAAGCTGACTGGCCAATGAGTTGAGTCTTTTCCAGCCCTCGGTCATTTTTTTTCTAGATTTGTTTGTTTTCTTAAGCACTGAGCAAATAAATGTTTGTGGCCCAGCACAGTAGACATACACAAAACATTCCAAATTGGAAACAAGATTGTTTAGGCATTCTGGATGTGTTTGGAGCTTGACGCCCGTAGGTCATCAAATTCAGAAACCTTCCAGAACAGTCAAATCAAGCTACTTTGGACTCAGGTGCTATTTGATTCTTTGTTTTTGCACAAGTGCTGTTTAAGTTCACTGTGTTTGAAGTATTCTCTCTTGGGAGCAGATAGCATTTCTGTGCATGTACAGACACACTCCAATCTATCTCAACCCCATTCCCCACAGGACCAGCGGCTGGTCTCTTCATGCTAAACTACAGGTTATTTCAAACCACTTGGTTGAATAAACTAGAACAGTGGGTTTCCTACCAACGTGTTCCAAAAAAAAAAAAACAATTTAAGGGCTTAGTGCAAAGCAAGAACTCAAACTCATATCCCATTCGCACACATTTCTTAGCCAACTTGGGGTAACTGGAACTCACTTAGTTGAGGCAGTGGACTGTACCCCACCGTTGGAGGTCAGAGTCCAGTATTTCCCAGTACAAGTCCTGAAGGTGCACTTCTTGTTCTCTTTGTTGACTTCCATCTGGAAGGTTTCTTGGTCAGCCTCTTCATCTTGGTTGGCCGAGAGATCGATTCCTAGAAGAAGAGACACAGATGGCAGAGGGAGTCAAGGCCAGCCCTTGTAGGCCCGCCCCTTGATGGCTGTCCAAAGTCTTATCTATCTATACAGGTAGTCCTCGCCTTAGTAAGCCTGGGGAATTCTGGGAGTTGAAGTACACAAGTTGCCACAGTTGGACACTCCTGGCTTGGACTCTTCTCAGAGCGAACACACCTAACACCACCGAATTCTAGAAGTCAAAGTCCACATGTTGTCAACTCATAAAATATGTCTATGGTCTTTTTAGAGTTGCCAACAGAAAGGGAGGGGGAGCAGTGCAGCAGCTTGCAAAACCGAAACTGCATTCCATAAATGTTTTTCAAAGATAGTTTCTAGGTGACCGAAGTTTCTGCCACGCAAATATCTAACTGGAGAGCATGGATTGATGACTCTTGGCTATGGATGTGTCCCATTGGAGAATATGGAATACGATACACCCAGGGTGGGTGGGGGGAAACCAGGGCCAAGGGTGACAATGAATGATGTGTCTCAGAGTAGGCTACACCCAGGCAGTGCCGGCATGTTTACTCCTAATCTTCTTTAAGTTTTGGAAGTTTGACTCATGATTTAAATGGGGATAACTGCCAGAATCCTGACACATATCTTACAAAGAGAAGTTGAGAAACACTGCTTTAAGCTAATGCAAACTTGATACTATAGAGGATTAAGGTGACGGGATTGAAAAACCTGGTTGGGGAATTCTGGGAGTTGAAGTCCACAAGTTGCCACAGTTAGACACCCCTGGCTTGGACTCTTCTCAAAGCTAACACATCTAACACCACCAAATTCTGGAAGTCAAAATCCATGTATCTTAGAAAACTGAGAAACGCTGCTTTAAGCTAATGCAGACTTGATATTGTAGAAGAGGAATAGGATGATGGGATTGAAAAACCCATGGTTGGTTGGGGAATTCTGGGAGTTGAAGTCCCCAAGTCTTAAAAGTTGCCACAGTTGGACACCCCATCAAAACCCTGCCCACCCCCCAGGGAGGAATCTAAGAGAAAATGCTTCATGGGCAGTTGCTTCTGCTGCTGCTTCCTTAAAAATTTTCTGCAGACCAACACCAACTGCTCACATGCTTGGCGAGTCCCACTCTTGAAATTCCTCAGAGTTCAGATTTGCATCCTCAGCATTTCTGTCTCAGCTCCAATGAGCACACACACAAAAATAAACCCTCCAGGGGGAGAGAGACAGCCAGCTAAAGAAACAATAACAAGATGGCAGGATCCCCGTGGAGGAAAGAGAAAGAAAGAGGTGGAACGGCATGCTATGGCCCCACGCTTCTGAGATGGAGAAGAGCCAAACAAGCGGCAAGACGGCATCCAGACATTCCCCAGGAAGGCAACCAAGGAGCCTCCAGTGATTACGCACCATTAACAAAGGCAAACCAAGCACCACATGGAGTCTAGAACAACTCAACCCCAAAGTCTTACTTGAGGCACCAATGGCCAGCCTCCAATGATCTCTATTCTCTTTGGTGGTACATAGAATTCCATTTTTTTTTTCAGATTGATCACAATTTGAAAGCTTCCTCCAATGCTGGAGACAAACTGGCCTCCTCTTCCAATGTCATCCCTCATGACAATCCTTTGAAGGACGTTGGGTTAGAAGGTTGACTTGATCTTCCATCATCAACAAGCTCCATGGTTCACAGTGGACTTCAGCCAAGTTTCCTGGTCCAAAATCTAACAATCTTAACCCCCTATAGCACATAGTCAGCCTTTAAAAGGGAAGTGGATAGAGCCCTAGAAGAGAGTTGGCCAACTTTGGCCATCTTTAAGACCTGTGGACTTCAACTCCCAGAATTCTAGGAGTCCACAGGTCTTCAAGTTGCCAAGGTCAGACACCTCTGCCAGAAGTTATGGGATCTTCATCCCTGGAAGCTTTCAAGGAGAGACTGGACTGCCATCTGTCAGAAATTGGTGGAGGGTCTCTTGCTTGGGTGGTGAGTTGGACTAGATGACCTACGAGGTCCCTCCCATCTCTGTTAATGTGTATCAGACTCTACTCCTAGCCAATTCTTCCCTGGCAGTTTCAGTGTTTCATCTTCTGAAGACTTTTAAAAGAGTTTTAAGAGTTTCATGGCCTCGGAGACCCTTCAATTGGTTGCCTTCCTGTCCATTTGCTCTTAAGTGCAGACAGGAAACCAGCCTTTTTTCTCTCTTACAAAAATAAACCTATCTTAGCGGCAGTGGAAAAAGCATCATCGACTCCATAAAACGTCTGACTTGCAAAATCAGAGCAAGGAAGGAAACTGGGCGGATGGCCGTAGGGTGGGGGGGGGTGGGGATTGACCCATCCGTTCTGCTACCCAAGCAAAAACAAAAAATGGAGAAACAGACCAGAAAAGCTCCCTTCTGCACAAATCCCTTCCTGGATTTGTGACCGCAGTCAGGATCAGAACATTTGCAAAGCAAGGCAGTTATTAAGCAAGTCGTGCCTGATTTTTATGACCCTTTGGGGTGGGGGGGCAGGGTTGTTTAAGCGAATCAGGCTGTGGTTATGCAGATCTGGTTTTTTCCCCCCTTGGTTTCGCTTGTTGTACATGGCCTGGGAAGGCTGACCCTGGGACTCTGCAATCGTCCTAAATATAACTTGGTTAGATAGATGCAGAGTTGGAAGTCACCTGGTGGTAGGCCATCCATTTGGATCACGTGATGGGGATGTTGCAATGGTCGTGAAGTGTGAAAAACGGTCGTGAGTCGCTTTTAACCCACTTAAAAGTAACGAGAAAAATCTCTAACTGTAAGAACGATTCGTCAACGCAACTTGCCTCTAGAAGTTGTTGGTGCTCCATCACTGGAGCTTTTCAAGAAATTGGGACAGCCATTGGTCCAGAATGCTACAGGAACTCCTGCCTGAGCAGAAGGTTGGAGAAAAAGACCTCCAAGGTCCCTTCTAACTGTTATTCTATTATAAAACCATTTTTGGAACCATCCCTCAGAATTAGAATGGAATAATAATAATAATAACAGAGTTGGAAGGGAACTTGGAGGTCATCTAGTCCAAGCAAGAGACCCTACACCATTTCTGACAGGTGGCAGTCCAGTCTCTTCTTCAAAGTCTTCAGTGATGAAGCTCCCACAACTTCCGAGGGCAACTTCTGTTCCATGGGTTGATTGTTCTCACCGTCAGAAAAATTCTCTTTATTTCTAAGTTGAATCTCTCCTCGATAAGTTTCAATCCATTACTCCTTGTCTGGCCTTCCGGTGCTTTGGAAAATAGCTTGACCCCGTCCTCCTCTCTAGGGCAGCCCCTCAAATACTGGTTGCAAAGACCCATGTGATTATGAGGACACTCGGATGGTCATAAACATGAGAGGGCTGTCGTATATTCGAACTGTCATTAAACCAATTATTGTAAGTCATTATTGAGCTGTTGTGGCGCAGTGGTTAGAGTGGAGTACTGCAGGCTCCTTCTGCTGTCTGCCGGCTGACTGCAATTTGGCAGTTTGAATCTCACCGGGCTCCAGGTTGTCTCAGCCTTCCATTCTTACAAGGGGTGGTGGTGTAAAATGGGGACCCAGATGGTTGGGGACAAGAGGCTGACTCTATAGACAGCTGTAAAGCACCACGAAGCTGTATATAAGTCTAAGGGCCTTTGCTATTGTATAGCCCAGCAGTGGGCACTCATCCTTGGCACAAGCCCTGCCTCTGGCACCCCTCGGCGAAGCACAGATACTGCTATCAGAGCAGAAAATTCTGAATTATGGCCAAAGAACCAGCTACACCTATTTCTATGGAAACTGCATACACGGAGCGAGCGTGCACACAGCATCGCAGAACAGGGTGACAGGGACTTAAACCTACGCTATTTATACAACGGCAGCTGGATTTAGCTAAAGGCTGAGTGTGTTTGTCAACTACACACACCCTCCAACTGCCAGAGTGTTGCCCAGGCATCTCAGCCCTCCGGGCACCCACATACACACACACACACACACGCACCCTGGATTGAGATTTTACCTGTCCAGAGCGCCGTAACCCCACTCATACCTGCACTTTTGGTATACTTGTGGCTTTGCGCTACAACCACGCAAGAGTGAAATTCCGCCTTCCATTCCAAACTTGGTTTTAAAGAGGTAGTAAGGTTTTAGGGTTTTAAAACCTTAAAAAAAACTCCTTGAAAAGCTTGGTTTTAAAGGGTTTTTAAGGTTTTATATCCTTAAAAACCCTTTGCTATAGTGGTGGAATGCAATTATTTACCGGTGGGATTACCCCCTGAGAACGGAGCTGGAGACAGTATCCTGTGATCTCAAATAAAGAACGATCGATCGGCAGGAAAACAGGGTGGGGAATTTTCCTGCAGACTTTCTTTGGGGATTTTCCCAGGGTCTCTGGTCCTCAGGATTTAAAATTATAAGTTTGGTGGTCCCTGGGGTCCAAAAGGCTGGTGACCCCTGGACTAGATGACCTCTGAGGTCCCTTCCAACTCAGCTATTCTGTTAGGATTCTGCAGTTGTCCCCTTAATGAAATCCAGAGGTGGCCAAGCCCACGTCTCCTCATCCAGCCCACAATTCTTCCAGCTCAGACGTTGAGGAAGGCAAGAACGGAGCTGAGAGCGGAGGGCAGCTCCTAACTTTGCCCATCTACAGTTTGGAAGCCAGAGAAACTTTTGACAACCTGCCACACGGAAATGCCAACTTCGGAGGAGCCCTAAGCCTGGCCGTCCAACGCTTCCCGTTGCTGCAAAGGCCACAGAATAAAGGCTTTGGATAAATCTTGGGGGGAAAGCAGCAACTTCTGGCTGTAACCCCAGGCATGTTGACTGCATGAAGGGCATGTGCCCAGCTGTAGGGGCTGGAATCCGTACAAAGCAGCACAATGTGGTTTCTTTGGCTCTGCCGAGACACGAGGCTGTGGCGAACCCAGCTGAGTAGCACCGACTGGCAGCTCCGAGCACAGAGCCCCAGAGGGAGCCCTGCCCACCTCTCTCTGTTCAACCCCACGGGGCATTTCTTGGGCTCATCGAAAGCCG